TAAAGTATTATGACTGTGTTTTAGTATATAACATTATATGCTCTCAGTTTATAGCTTAGAACTGTTTAAATATTAATAGGTCTATTAACAATAGACTGTGGAATTTGCAGTAGTTAATTTTCTTTATTTTTCCTTCTCTAATATACAGTGACAGTTATGGTACACATAGTTATAAAATTAAGAAAGGGGAAGTCAGACTATTTGATTAAATTATGTTTTGTTGAAATTTCGTGTCATAATACTTTTGTTTTGTTTTGTTTTTATTGTTGACACTATTACAGATGTTCCCTATGCCCCCCACCCTTTGCCCCCTTCATAATACTTGTTTTTCAACAAAGATGACTATATCTAATCTATACTCTGATTCTTTGACACTAACTGGGTGTCTCTAGTAATTCAGTTCAATTGTAACATAACACCCCACACACAGATTAATGGCTCAGTCCCACAAGACTGCCCTCACTTAGGATGCCAGTTACAAGTCCCAGGTTGCCACCATTACTTCTGACCAACTGGTTATAAATTCAGGTGTCATAACACCCTCCTCAGATTTGATAATTCATCAGGAAAACTCTTAGAACTCTGGAAATTGCTTTACTTACTATGACTGGTTTATTACAGGGATAAAACTCAAGAATGAGCAGCCAAATGGAAGCAAAGGTGAGGGGGTACACACAGAGCTTCCATGCCCTCTCCAGGCATGCCACCTTCCCAGCATGTCCATTTGTTCACCAGCCCAAAAGCTCTACCAGCCTCTTTGTTCAAGAGTTTTAATCACCCAGTATTCACCCACTCCCCTCTCCTCAGGGGTGCCGCTGAAAGTTCCCACCCTCTAATCAAGTATATGGTCTTCTGGTAACCAGTCCCATCCTGACACTGTCTAAGGGCCCCCCTTCCTGAGTCAAAAGACATTTCTGTCACTCAGGAAGTTCCAAGGGTTTTTAGGAGCTCTGTTCCAGGAACTCAGGACAGAGATCAAATATATATTTTTTCATTATACACCCTAGTAATGAAAAAGTGTATATTGGTAGAATTCTAGATCTGAGCAATCAAGGCTTCAGTGGTTGCTTTGCACCCTTGTCAATGATCTGGCCACAATTTAACTTATTAAACTTTTTAACATATAGTGGCTTCTTTTACAGCTTAGTACTCTTGTAACTTTAGAAGACCATCATCACTATCTCAGTACTTCATCTTATACAAAAAACTAGGGAGTTTTTAGTACACAAAGGGGTTTATACTTCAAAAGTTCATTTGTCATTTCACAGTTTTAAATTTTGAGCATATTTTTTTTATTGAAACAGTAGGGTAAATGGTAAATGTTTTCAAAGCAATCCATTGGCTTTGGCAAGATAGGGAACTAACTCCAAAAGGAAAAAAACTTGTGCCTGAGTATTGAGGGTGAAAAGGCTTATAATTTTTTTTGAAAGATTAAGAAATGAGAGCTTTTTTTGCTATTTTGTTTGGTGTCTATATATGTCAGAGGGAAGACATTGTGTGTTGTGGATTGAATTGTGTATCCAAAAAATTCATATGTTGGAGCACTAACTCCTTTGTAACTACATTTGGAGATAGATAAGGTCTTTTTAAAGATGTAATTGAGATTAAATGAGATCATGAAGCTGAGCCCTAATCCAGTAGAACTAGTGTCCTTATAAGAAGAAGAGACACTAGAGATGGGCATGTGCAGAGATAAGGCCACGTGAGGACACAAAAGTAGGCTATCCACAAGCCAAAGAGAGGCTCAGGAGAAATCATGCCTGCCAACATCTTAATCTTGGCCTTCCAGTCTCTAGGACCAACAAAATTAATTTCTGTTGTTTAAGTCACCCAATCTGTGGTGTTTTTAATGGCAGCACTAGCAAACTAATAAGTCATGTTATTTTAGAATAGGATTTCAGCCAGTGCTCCATGGAACATTAGTATCTAGGAAATGTTAATAGAGATTTCTTGAAAGAGATTCTTGGCTTAATAATTTGGGAAATGATCTATAATATATTCTCCCTTAAGAATGTACAATGCATATTCATATGTTAAACATACTTAGAAACCTTGAAGTAAAGAAATCTGTTTAATTTTTTTTCAACATCAACATTTCTCAAATATATTTGTCTACAGAACATGTCTCTTTTTGTTACGTGAACTATGCATTTTCCTTCTGGAAAAAAGTGGCTGGGGGAGAGTCATACGCTTCTTCATCTCCCTCCCTCTTCATCTCCACTAAAGATATGGTACAGTTTTATATTTCTAAATATAGGGGACATATAAAATGTGTTCTTAGTAAATCCTGAGCATGACATATTCACCAGTATAACTTAGCTGAAAAACAGAGTAAGCAAAGAAGGGGGAGTAGATGTCCTATATGCCGACATATAGGATATGGGAGTTCTGGCATCTTATTTTAACTTGTATTCAGAAAGTCATTGTAATTGATTAGTTAAATTTTATATAATGACTTGAATGTTTTCATTCAGTTTGAAATACTGAATGTTTTTATTGATATGGATCTATATTTATAAGGATTATGTCTCTGATAACTTTATTTCTTGTTTGCCCAGAAAGCTTCACAGCAGCATAATACAGTAGTTAAAATCCGAGGGCATGGAATCAGACCACCAGTATATGAATCCTAGCACTTTTCTCCTTGGGCAGATTAAGCTCCCCAAATGCCAGTTTCTTGCTCTGAAACAAGTGCGATAACAGTACCTACCTACCTTTTGAGGTTGTTGTGAAGCCCCTAATATAGTGCCTATTACTCAATATACTTAGTTATTTTTATTCTGAGAAAAGTTACACTATACACAGAAATGTGTAGAACATAACTTGTGATGCTCCATCATTAAAAAGGATAATGGTAGCTGGCTTTGTTATTTTAGTGGAGGTGAAATTCACATAACAGTAACCATTTTAAAGTGAACAGGTCAGTGGCACTTGGTACATTCGCAGTGGTGTGTAGCCATTACCTCTGGTTCCAAAACATTTTCATCACCTTAGAATGAAGCCCTTCACCCACTAAGCAGTGACCCACCGTTCCCCCTCTTCCCACTGGCAACTACCAGCCAATCATCTTCTGTCTTCATGGATTTATCTAATCTGGATATTTCATATGGGTATAATCCTAAAATGTGACCGTTTGTATCTGGCTTCTATGTAGCATAACATTTTTGAGGTTTATCATGTTGCAGTAGTATCAGTACTTGGTTCTTTTTATAACTAAATAATATCCATTATACGTTTATGTCAGAATTCGTTTCTTCTTTCGTCTGTTCATGGACATTGGAGTTGCTTCCACCTTTTGGCTGTTGTGAATAGTGCTTCTGTGAATGTTCGTGTAGAAGTACTTAAGTACCTGTTTTAGTTCTTTTGGATAAGTACCTAGGAGTGGAATTGTTGGATCATATGCTAATTTTTAACTTTTTGAGGAACCACCAAACTGTTATCCACAGGGGCCTGAAATAACTTGCATTCCTATGAGCATTGTACAGGGTTCGATCTCTGTGTCCTCATCAGTGCTCCTTATTTCCCCTTTTTGTTTTTGATTATAGCCATTCTGGTGGATGTGAACTGATATCCCATTTTCCTGGGGTGTTTATTGCCGTTTGTGAATTTTTGGAGAAATGTCTATTTAAATCACTCACCTAATTTTTAATGGGGTTGTTTGTCTTGTTTTTTAGTTGTAAGAGTTCCTTATAAATTCTGGAAAGTAGATTCTTACCATATATATAATATGCATATATTTTGTTCCATTCTGTAGGTTGTTATCACTTATGTTCTTTGATGCAGTTTTTAATTCTCTTGAAGTTCCGTTTATCTTTTCTTTTGTCTCTTGTGCTTTTAGTGTCGTTTTGAAGAGCCCATTGCCAATTCCAGGTCGCGCAGATTTGCTCCTGTGATTCTTTTAATTAGTTTTATGATTTTAGCTCTTATATTTGGGATGTTAACCTTTTTTGAGTTAATTTCTATATATGGTGTGTTGCAGGGGTCCAGTTTCATTCTTTTTCATCCAGTTGCCCCCACACCGTTTGATAAGACTACTCTTTAATTTTTTAGTAAATAGATAGATTAAAAAAAAAAAACACTCTAGTGAAGCGATTAAGATTCTGGAGACAGAACACTTTGGTCCAAATCTGGCATTACTGCTTACTCCCCTGTGACCTTGGGCAAGTCATTTCAACTTCCTAATACTCAATTTTGTTGTATATAAAATAATAGAAAAGTCAACTCCTTAGCATTATTATGAGCATTATGTTGCATAATATTTGTAAAACACTTAAAAGATTCCGGACAGTGACAGATCAGTTTTGGTAAGAATTACCATCCATATCTGTGATCCTTTGAAGAAATCACTGTTAGTAAAAGCTAACCCTAATTATCATCCATCAGCCTAGACTAATACTTTAATTCTTCAGAGGGTGAGACTGATGGACCCAGATGAACTGAGATAAATTAGACATTGAGAGGACACTTATAGTATTTCAGGGCATCATGTATGTTATTTACTCTTAACAACAATCCCTATTTTATAAGAAACCTGAAATTTAGAGTGTTAACTAACTTTTCCAACATATAATGAATAAGTAGCAGAGGTGGCATTCATTGGAAGGTCTGGTGCTTCGCCCTGTTATGATAATTTAGTGTAGAAAAAGATTTAATAAACACATGACCTTAATTATTTCTGGAATTTCATATAATACTGGAGTAAGGAAAGATGAAAAGTATGTATGTGTGTGACATATATATGTGCCATATAAAACATGGATACTAGTCAGTTCTCTAAGGGAATATTTTATTGTGACTTATATGTTCTTTTAGCTGACTAGATTACACTGCACTCACTTTTGTAATATAATTCAAGTTTAAATATTTGTCTGAGTTTTCAGTATATTGAATTGAAAGAAAAAATTTTAACATCCAATAAATCAAGGTTTGTTTTTTACTGAGATCTCTGAGTCCAGTATTTTAAATGGTATTAAAGAAAATTTTACAACCTGTACATTTAGGTTTGTTTTTTGCTTCTCTCAGATGTAATAAAGGAACAGAATCGAGAGTTGCGAGGTACACAAAGGGCTATAAGCAGAGATCGAGCAGCTTTAGAGAAACAAGAAAAACAGCTGGTAAGTAGAACATTAAATTTCAGTTTAACTTTTCAAACAAATTTGGAAATTAGTGTTGGAATAATTAGCTAACTAGGAAAAAGACAGATGGCAGGTGATAAGTGATTTGCTTTACTAAGAAGTGGCACTTAACGCCTTTCTGCAGTTTCTGCTTACCTTTGCTTATCGTGTCATTCTGCTGACCTTTATCAGGATTCTATGTATTCTGCTGATTATAACATCAAATTATTTTTCAGTGTGTAAAAGTCATAAATGCCTAGGAAGAAATATTGCTTAAAACAGAGCCAAATTATTCTTCACTAATAACAAAGATAATGTAGTCCTTGAAAACAAGAGAGGGTTAAAAGAAAATAATTATGTTTGCTCATAGGTGTCTTACTTGATATTTTAGCTATCATTGTGTCTGTGATAATAAATGTACTTTAAAAAATTGGCTATCTTTAAATATTTTGTTATGTTTTAAAATATGTGTTGCTTAAGGTATTTTAATAAACAGCATAATTGAGGTATAGCTGACATGCAATAGTCTGTACATAAAGCATACAATTTGATACATTTTGACATATGTATTAACTAGTGAAACCATATTGCAATCAAGGTAATGAACATATCCTTGATCCCTAAAAGTTTCCTTTTTCCCTTTGTAATCCCTCCCTGTCTTCCTCCTCCTCAGTCGGGCAAACACTGATCTCTCACTGCAGATTAGTTTACATTTTCTAGAGTTTTATATAAATGGAGTCATAGAATATGAACTCTTTTCATATGGCTTATTTCATTCATAACTATTTTGAGATTAATCAGTGTTGTTACATGTATCAGGATTAATTCCTTTTTACTGATGAATGTTAGGCTTTTGTGTGAATGTTCCACAATTTGTTTATCCATTTACCAGCCAATGGACATTTGGGTTATTTGAAATTTTGGCTTTTTTGAATAAAGTTGCTATAAACATCCAATTGAAGGCTTTGTGTGAACATGTGTTTTCATTTCTCTTGGGTATATTCCTAGGAGTGGGATTGCTGGGTCATAGATTAAATGTATGTTTAACTGTATAAGAGTGCTCAACAGTTCTGCAAAATGGCTGTAATGTTCTATTCTCACCAGCTTTATATGCAGGTAAAGTTGTTTCACATCCTGGCCAAAAGTTGAAGTTAACAGTCTCTTTTCCTTTTAGTCATTCTAGTGGTGTATAGCAGATAGTCATTTTAAATTGTATTTTCCTAATTGCTAGTGATGTTCAGCATCTTTTCATGTGCCTGTCTGCCTTTTACATATACCGGCTTTGCCAAAGGGTCTACTGAAAGATTTTAACCATTTTTTTTTCAAGTTGTTTTCTAATTATTTAGTTGTAAGAATTTTTTATATATCCTGGATACAAGTACTTTAGTAAATATATGTTTTGAAAGTATTCTCCCCAATTCTTGGCATTGTCTTTATTTTTCCTAATAGTGTCTTTTGAGGAGCAGAGATTCTTATTTTTATCAAGTACAATTTATTATTTTTTTATGATTAGGACTTTTAGTTTCCTAAGAAATCTTTGCCTAAATCAAAGTCACTAATATTTCCTCTTATGTTTTCCCCTGGAAATATTTTAGTTTTAGTTCTTACATTTAGAACTGTGAACCATACTGAATTAAATCACTATATTGTCAGGTGAGGTTAGAGTTCACTTTTGCATATGGAAATTCAGTTGTTCCAACACCATTTGTTGATGACATCTTTCCCTGTTCAAATACCTTATCATCTTTGTAGAAAATCAGTTGTCCAAATACATGTAGGCCTCATTCTGGACTCTATCCTGTTCATTGATGTATACGACTATTGTTAAGCCAATACCACACTTTTTATTAGTATAGTCTTATAGTAAGTTTTAAAATTACATTTAAAGTTATATATAGTGTTAACCCTTCAACTTTGTACTTCTATTTTCAAAATTGTTTTGGCTATATTAGGTGCTTTGCATTTCCAAATGAACTTTCAAATAAAATAGACAGTTTCTACAAAAAAGATCAGATTTTTATTAGAATTACATTGACTGTAAACTAATTTGGGAAGACTGAACATCTTAACAATATTGAGCCTTACAATCCATGAATATGCTGTACCTTCCATTTATTTAGGTCTCTCAATTTTTTCAGCAGTGTTTTTACTTGTAATTATACAGACTCTACACTTCTCTTATCAGGTTTATCTCTAACTATTTTATATTTTTGATGTTAGGTATTTTGAAAACATTCAATTTCTGATTTTTTGTTGCTGGTCTATAGAAAGAAATACATTATTATTATTATTAGTAGTAGTAGTAGTAGTAGTATATTGATCTGGAATCCTGTACCCTTCCTAAACTCACTTATTGTAGTAGCCTTTTTGTGGATTCTATTAGGTTTCTACATAGACAATCATGATCATGTCATCTGCTTGTCATCTATGAATAAATTAAACTTTTCACATTCCTTTCCCGTTTTGATGCCTTTTTGATATATACGTTATTACACTGGCTAAAACTTTCAGTGTTACGTAGAATTGGTATCCTCCTATTTTTACTTATCTTAGGGGGAAACATTCAGTCTTTCACCATAAAGAATGATACTAAATTTGTAGGATTTTTGTAGGTGCCCTTTCTCGGGTTGAGGAAGTTCCTTTTAATATAGTTTGTTGAGACTTTTTATCAGGAATGAACTTCTCAAATGCTTTTTTTATTTTTTGCATCTGTTGAGATAATTATCAAGTAGTTTTTCTTTAATGTGTTAATGCAGTGAATTACTTTGATTGATTTTCCTAAGTTGACTTAAACTTTTGCTCCTGAGATAAATGTCATTGGTGTTGATGTATTTTTTTGAAATACTTTTCTTTCAAGTTGCTGAGAGTTTGTCGAGAATACTTGCATCTGTGTTCATGAACCGTATTCATCTGTGGCTGTCTTTTTGTGTAGTGTCTTTATTTAGTTTTGACAATGCTGATCTGAAAACACGAATTCACAAGTGTCCCTTACTCTTTCCTTTACTAGAAGGGTTTGTGTATTCTTTAAATGTTTGGTAGCTTTCAGCAGTAAAGCCAGTGGGAGTGAAGTTTTCTTCGTGGACAGGTTTTTAAACTACAAGTTCATTTTTTTAAAAAAAATGGATATAGATCAAACTTTCTGTCTTTTTTACTGAGTTTTGGTAGTTTGTGTCTGTCAAGTAATTTGTCCATTTCTACTAAACTTTACTGTCCTTTAACATCACTAGGATATAAAGTGATGCCCCCCTTTGTATTCCCCATATTTGTAACTTGTGTGTTCTCTCTGTCTCGGTTGTTTTCTCTTATCTGTCTGGCTAATGGTACATCAATGTGATCCATTTTTTGTAAAAAAAAAAGACAAAACAAAAAAAAACCCTGTTTTGAATTTCATTAATTTATCTGCACTTTCTTCCTTTCTAGTTTATGGATTTCTTCTCGTTTATGGTTTATATTATTTCTTTTGTTTTCTTTGTGCCATAAATACTTCCACTTCTCTTTTACTTTTCTTTTGAGGCTTTTGACATTTTAAAATAATACCACCTTTTTTTGCCTTTATTATTTTGAGTAATTTATTTTTATACCTCTTTTTTATTTTTCAGTTACAGTTGACACTCAATATATTAGTTTCACATGTACAGCATAGTGTTTAGACATTTATATAACTTACAAAATGATAATTCTAGCACCCACCTGGTATTGTCATACCTAGTTATTACAATATTATTGACTATATTCCCTATGCTGTACTTTCCATCTCTGTGACTATTTTGTAACTACCAATTTGTACTTCTTAATTCCTTTACCTTTTTAAATATACTCTTTAATTCTATAAATTTCTCCCTAAGAACTGTTTTAACTGCAGCCCACACATTTTGATATGTAGTGTTTTCATTAAGTTCAAAATATTTAATTTCACTTGTGATTTTTTTTTTCTTTAACCTATATCTTGATCATTTGTGATTTTTCTTTCATATTTTTCTTACTGATTTTTAGTTTAATTTTATTGTGGTTAGAGAACATACTTTATATCATTTCAACCCTGTTAAATTTATTGAGCCTTGTTCTCTGATGCAGAATATGGTGTATTTTGTTGACTTCTTTTTCATTGTATGCTTGTAAATGAGGACTCTGCTGTTGTTGATGGAGTTTCCTTTAAATGTTGGCTAGGTCGAGTTGGTAATAGTATTTTTTGTAAATCTTCTGCATCAGATTTTCTGTCCATTTTAACAGTTACAGCAATACTTGAGAGGAGTTTTTGATATTCCTCATGCTAATTGTATATTTGTCTGCTTCTTTCAGTTCAGTCATTTGTGCTTCTATTTTTAAGCACTGTTCTTAGGCGCATAGACATTTAGGGTTGTTTTGCATCTTTATGTATTGATTATCTTTATGAAATGCCCCTTTTTATTTCCGGTAACATCCTTGTTCTCAAGTTTTGTTTTCTTTTTTTGTTTTTTATGTGATGTTAATGTAGCCACTCTGGATTTCCAGATTTTAATAAGTATTTATATAGAATACATTTTTCTTTTTTCTTTTTTTTAATATATCTATTTATTTCAGAGAGAGGAAGGGAGAGAGAGAGAGAGAGAAACATCAGTGATGAGAGAGTCATTGATCGGCTGCCTCCTGCACGCCCCTGACTGGGATCGAGCCCACAACCAGGGCATGTGCCCTGACTGGGACTCGAACCTCGATCTCCTGCATCCTAGGTCAATGCTCAACTGCTGAGCCACGCCAGGCCGGGCTATTTTTCTATTCTTTACTTAGCATTTTTTTAACTGAAGTTGGTTTCTTGATATAGTACATGTTTGGGTTCTTATCTAATCTGATAACCTGCCTTTTATTGAGATATTAGGTGGACCTTTTGACTTAATATTTTTATAATATTAGCTTTAAATCTATCTCTGTGCTCTTTTTGCTATGTCCCACCAACTCTCTTGTGTTTTTTTTGTTATTTTCTATCTACTTTTGGGTTGAGTGTTTTAGTTTTCTTCTGGGCTTATATGAGTACTGTTTTGTAGACCAGCTTTGTGTTTGTAGATGAAGGTACTAGTTCTCTCTTTCTTATGGAAACGTGGAATAAATTGCCCTCTCAAATTACTCTTTTCTCTCTGTGACTTTATGACAGCCCCTGCCCACTTCAGGGTCAGGAAGAAAAGGGTATATTATACAGGGGTGGGCAAAAGTAGGTTTTTCAATTGTGAGTATGTGAAACAGTTTATTCTCGTATTATTTATTAATTACTGTATTTCCTGTGTGAACAACGTAAACCTACCTTTGCCCACCCTGTATATATTTGACCTATTCTTTTGGAATAAATTTTGAGGCCTATCCCTCAGTGATTTTATTCCCCTCTTTTTATTTCCTCTCAGGAATTAGAAATTAAGAAAATGGCCAAAATTGGTAATAAAGAAGCATGCAGAGTTTTAGCCAAACAGCTTGTACAACTACGGAAACAGAAAACAAGAACTTTTGCTGTAAGTTCAAAAGTGACTTCTATGTCCACGCAAACAAAAGTGATGAATTCCCAGATGAAGATGGCCGGTGCAATGTCTACTACAGCAAAGGTCAGTAGAAGCCTTTGTGTCCATAGACTTAGAGTTTAATCTGAGATATTTAAACACCAAGTTTCAAATCAGATTCTAAAGCACTTCCTGTTCTATATGGAGTATCGAATCTGTGTAATTTTTATCAAAATGAATTATAATATTAGATAATCCAGAGAACTATTTCTAGGTTCTTTATTGATTGGTTTTAATATAAAATTTCTTGTTGTAGGACATTTCCATTGTTCCAAGGCCACATGTAGCTTCTAAATTTTTTAAATTGATTTAAAACAGTGTTTGCTTTTATCTCGTAAACTGTCCAAGATTTGTGGGCTTCTTATTTCATTAAGCTATAAGTTTTGAGTGCTTTAGAGTAGTAATTTCCTCTTGATTCATTTTTATGTATGTGTCAGAAGGACACATGAATACTGTTAGAGGGTTTATCAGATAATTTCAATAGGAACTTAAATTTAACTTACAGTCTTTATATTAAAAATGTTTTTGCTATAGACCTTAAAGAACTCTGAGCCTTTTGATTTTTTAATAAATAATGAGCTCCTTGATGCATATGAAGTACTGTGAGAAACAAGAAGCTTAAGGCAAAGACTCTACCCTCACAGATTTTACAGTTCAGTTGAGGGCTGGTGTTAAGATATGTCTGAAATGGAAACTATCTGCTATTCATCAGGCTGTGCTGAGCTTCAGTGAACTGCACAGATCTTTGAATAGAATGATCTGAAAGACTTTGCAGAAAACCTAGGTCTTAAAAATATCACTAGGTGTTTAATATAGGAAAGGAGGAATATCAATATGAAGAGCAAAGGAGGAAGAGCCATGGAGGAGGAATATGAGGTTCATATGTGGAAAATAGTACATGCACTTGATTCTCATTATTTGCAATACTTACTGTTCTACAAAGTTGGGAACATGAATTAGCGAATATCGAACCATTGCTCCAAAGGGAAATATAGGGTTATTAAGTTCCTGTGAGCTTTTGGTTACAACATTTTTGTCAACTAGCATATACCTAAATTTGTTTTGTTTGTGTTTCCATTGAAAGAAACCATATTTAATTGTTGATTCATTAACTCATGGCAACAACACTATAACTCATGCATGAACAAAGTTGATCTAACAAAGTGTATTTTCTCCATAAGCACATGACAGCCTTGTTGCACTTAGGACACTAAATGACACTTTAGTTCCATGCTTGGGGACCATTTTAAACAGCAAAATCACCAATAAAGGCACAAGAATGTGGCAATAAATAAACAGCAAAAAGGACACTTGTTTATAGTATGAGAGCTGAAACAAGAAGGCAGTGTTACCTTTTTTGACCTCAGCTGAAAATGTGCCTTTTGGGCGACTAAATTTTTTGGTGTTCTGTGCATGTCCACGAATGAGCACAAAAGCACTGCAAGTTTGATTTGAGGTTACAAATAAACTTTAGTGAGGAGGCACATTCAAAAATACGGAATCCAAAAATAATGAGGATCAACCTCATTATTGTAATTGTTTTGCAATTTTCTGTAAGCGGTAGGTTAGGAAAAGATACCTAATGTGGTTATGCCATATACAGATGTCTGAATTGGAATTTTCACTTAAATTTCTTAGAAATGTGTTAATTCAGCCTATATTTGTTTAGATCCTAAAGGCAAGAACTATATATAACAAGCGGTAGGGATGAAGTAGAGAGCAGAACCAGCCAGGGGCTTCCCCTGTGCTACGTTAGAGTCTTTTTAAGAAGCAGCCCACTTAAGAAGCAATTTATTTAGTGCACCGATTAGGATCCTAAGTTCTGGAGCCATATTACCTGGGTTCAGATCTCACATCCACTTAGTAGCTATGTAACCAGGCCAAGTTATTTCACCTTTCTGTGCCTTCATTCTCCATTTGTAATATAGGGAAAATGGTGCTACCTGGCACATAAAGATTTGTCAGCTTCAAATGTTATTTAACTTTAAATATTATTATATATAAAGTGCTTAGTGTCTGTGTGTCTGACACACAGTAAGGTTATATAGGCATTAACTACTCCATTATTATTATTGTTATAGTATTTACAACAATAATGTAAGTTGGAATTAAAGTATTATAATTTACACCAATAAGTATAAAATTTTATATATACCTAGTAGGATGTAATTAGGGGTATGTATTAAGTGTTGATAGTAAAAGCAAATGGAGAAGAGCACTCCAGGTGAGAGGAGCATATGCAAAGGTCCTGTGACAGGAGAGAGCATGGCACATTCAAGGAAATGAAAAAGCGGTGTGACTGAGGGCAGTGGTGCAAAATGAGACTGGCTTAATAAGTAGAGTTTAATTGATATTTGCTCTCACAGGCCAATTATGGAATTTGGCTTTTAATAGTAAAAGCAATGGGAAGCCATTGCAGAGTTAGTTATGTGTGGGCTGGCTGGGGATAGGGGTATGTAGTATCCTAAGATTACTTTAACTGCAGCATTGCATACAACTTGTCAGAGAAAAGAATGTGTGCTTCATATCTTGGAAACTGATAATGTTTTCTGTTGTATAGTGTCTTTGAATACTGAACTTAATATATAACATATATATATTATATATTTTTTATATATATAAAATATTTTGTCTGTATTAAATGGCATTAATCTCTTTTAATGAAGTAAGTTGTGAACATAAAATGTAAAAGAATTCTTTTCACATATTTTTGCAAAACTCAATGTTTTATTTCTTTAAACCGTGAAACCATTTAAAATGTGTTAAAAGATTTAAGTATATATGCTAGTGTATCCTTTTTACTTTAAATATTAAATTAATGATTTGTAAAAAATTAAATTAAAATTATTTTAAAATTTGGACATTACCTACTTACCGCATAGTAGGCAAATGTAGTTTTCCCATCTGAATAGCAATGTATTTTTTATTGACAGTGGTTTTTTATTACATAATTTTTTGCCTGCTGTTCATATGCGTTTTTTTCCACGCCAGTCATTATATAGATGTTAAGCAGATGGTTTCCAAATGAGTATTTTATTTTTTTCTAAAATACTTAACATTTTTATATTTGATTATGCCAGAATGTATATCTTTTCAAAGCCTGTGTCTACTTGATGTGTTCTCTTAGGACTTATCCACAGTAAAATTTTCATAATTATGTAGCTGATTTGGATTTTTTCATATTTTGAAGACAATGCAGGCAGTTAACAAGAAGGTGGATCCACAAAAGACATTACAGACAATGCAGAATTTCCAGAAGGAAAACATGAAAATGGAAATGACTGAAGAAATGAGTAAGTTTAATAGTTAGGAATGAAATTTACAGTTTTCTAATGCTTGAATGAGCTAAGTCTGTTTACTAGCAACCTCATGTTCTCATCAATGAAAGCACAAATACTGAAAAAAGAAATGGTACAGTACCCTTCTAAATAGGCGTCCATATGGTAACTATTGTATTTTTTTAAATTTACCTTTACTGTTGAAAGTATTACAGATGTCCCCTCCATTGTCTATTGTATTTTTAAATTGGCAATATATAATGGCTCAAAACTCTATCAATGTTTAACTGAAGGAAAAATATAAAATAAGGTATGCCATATTTCTATGCCATTCCAGCCCCAGCTGTTTTACTTTATTGATTTTTGGACCAAAACCAACTTGTGGATAAAATAATTGGTTCTGGTCTACTTGGATAGTGTCAGATTTGCATTGATTCTTTCATGCTACAGGTACTGGAGGTAAAGATAATGGAGCTCTTTCATTCCTTTTTCCCCCTCCCAAAGTTATTTAATATTTAGTTTTTTCTTTCTGACTATAAACCAGTTGCATGTTGTGGTGGAAATATGAAGACTACAAGGAAATGAAGCGTATTAAAAAAAACTATCTTCACACCACTCAGATATAGTTACTGTTAATGTTGTATGTTTCTTTCCTATACTTTTCCATATCTTATGATCATATGTCATGTGCAATTTTGAACCTTATCCAGCTTTTTAAAAACATAGTATATAATAGAAGCATGTGCTCCTGACATTAAATCTTCTCTGAAGTCTTTTGAAAAAAATGGCTTTAATGTTGCATAACATCAATATTAAGTAACTTCAACTCTAATTTATTGAATCATTCTTACAGTGGTCAATGAAATTGCTTTAAAATGTTTAATCTATTTGATAATGCTTTCATAAATGTTTCTATTTTTGTCTAAATTTCTTAAGTCTCCTAGAGTATTAACTTTTATAAGGCTTTTGGTTCATACTACCAAATTCTTCTCAGAAAGACTGTCCCAGTCTCTATTTCTCCAGTAATGAATGAGTGACCCTTTACAGCATCCTGGTCAACACTGAATTATTACTTACATGATACGTCAAAACTGGCATCATTACTTTGCAAAGATGTTTTCTAATTGTTTTACAACTAAGTAGGGATATGCCAATTTAGCTTTGCTAGTATTTTAGTTTTACTGCATTTTGTGCATAAATAGTATCTAAATAAATTACCAAGGTTGCTAAACTCACCATTGCTCTAATTATCTATTTCAGATTACCTATTTTGCTTTTAGGATTTAATGATACTGTGTGTGTATTTTTGATAGTTCAAAAATTCTTCAGTTTTTACTTTGAATCTTTACTTTGAAAACTATGANAAATCCTATTTGTATTTTTGATAGTTCAAAAATTCTTCAGTTTTTACTTTGAATCTTTACNGTGTGTGTATTTTTGATAGTTCAAAAATTCTTCAGTTTTTACTTTGAATCTTTACTTTGAAAACTATGATTATTTGAAACATCATTAGTGAATTTTTAATGACTGTAAGAATTGTCATTTATATAATGATCACAGTACCCAATATGTTTATTTGGTTTCCAGTGATGGCACAGGTGTGAGCAGATCTTATCAGAGGAATTAACTTTTCCATTAAGCTCTAGTGAAGAGAATTAATAAGCTCATACTTAAAACTCATATTCAACACAGTTCTTATTTGTATATTAGTACTTGCAAGTGAGTGTGAAATGATAGTAGTTACTGGTGGTTATTTGTTTTTTCTATAACCTAATAAAGTATATTAACATTAGTATTTTCATCCAAAGATAAATTTAAGTTTAAATGGAGATCTTTTTTAAATGAGAGTTTATATTATGCACTGTTGCTCTAAAGCTAGTTCACATTCAAGTTTTGGAAAAAAGATCTTTGAAAAATCTTTACTATGTCCTTGATTAATTTTTTTACACTTTTTCTGAAAGCATTCTTCTCTGTTAATCCCTGGTTACAACTCGCTAATCTTTCTCATCTGTCACCCTCTTTCATTTTTCCTGCTGCTACTTCTTCATTGAAGCCCTTATAAACTCTCACCTGGACTCCCCCACTCCCTTATTACTTCACTACCATTTGAGTATCGCAACTGCGAATTTATTTTTATAGAAGCTAGAGGTGAACTTAGTGTGCTGATCAGATTCCTTCAGTGGTTTTTTGCTGATTACAAAATAAAATCCCCATGTCATAAATCATAAACAGTTTTCAGGTCAAGCCCCTTTATTTTGCCAGGGAGCATACTGACATCCAGATAGGTAAAGTGACTTTCCTCTAAAGTTGCATAGGTATGAAATGAAAGAACTGAGTTTAGCATTCAGTTTACTTCTTCAGAGGTGTTATTCAATTTCTTTTGGCCTCAAGCTCTTTAGCCTTTTCCAAATTTACTTTATACTATTGAGCTAACACAAAAAATTCTCAAGTCATGCTTATACAAATCGGAGGTCTTAAAGAATATCAGTATTTATTACTAATGTCAAGTATACAAGCAATTAAAATGGACATGCAAAACAAGAAAAGGGCTGGGACATCCCAAATAACTCCTGAGATCTTTTCTTATCGGACACAAACTCTGACCCAGAATGATAGGTGGTGCGTGTAATGAGGTGTACGTATCTCATGTTGAAAGGAGCATTTAAATTATGAAACATCTTAAATTTATACCTCAGATGGTCACCTACCTTATGTGACATTTTCAGAGTGTCATGGCTCATAAGCCCATAGATTGTAGGTTTGTTTACTAGCACCGTCCTAAACCAAGGGCATCCTGCTAAGAGCATTCCACAGACAAGGTCTCTCTTGCTAGCAGATGTAGGTCTGTTTAGCAGGAGCACAATTGACAGCATGTTTACAAGGAGATCAGACTAGGTTACCTGTCTCCTTTCCTTTGGGGACATCCCCCAATAATCAGGAGAGTGATCGTGGGCCAGCTGCTTAATTATTTCCCTCACAACTGTTTTCTGTTCATGCACCTTAAATAATAACCAAATGAAAGAACTTGCTCTTCCCTGTGTATCCCAATTGCCTTCCAGCATGTCTTTGTTCATTGTGTTCCCTCTGTCTCTGTTGGGTCAAATCCCATGTATCCTTCAAAGACCACCTCACATGTTACTTCCTCCTATTTGTACATAATCTCTTTCCTTTTTATAATTATTTATTTCTCTATCACAATCTATTATTTTTCTTTCTTTTTTACTTAAGTCTAAACTACCTGAGATCTTCATTTTTTTCCATCTATCAGTTGTACTTGCAACATGTGCCAGGCACTTAGTTTTGAAGATAAATGAGACATTCCCAGACCTTCAGAAATTTCTTCCCCAGAACTCCTAATATGATGCCTTTTATACAGAAGACTTTCCATAAGTATTTTGGGAAGGGACAGGAGGAAGTGGGGAGAGGGTGTAGCAACAATAATCGTTGCAGGGTTAAATTGGACAAGTTTAATAAAATACTGTATCTTCAACTTTGTTAGACTATCCTACATACATCTTGAATGAAAAGTTAAGAAAGGTGAAAATATAATTTAGGTATAAAAAGAGTAAATTGTCTCCCAAATATTTACAGGATATTGTTCCATGGTCAGGTGTGACCAGTACCAGCTAAACAGATTCATGTTTAAAAACTTCATTCTTCTACCTGTGAATATCATATCGTTCTTTATTAAAGGTGAAATTTAAATTAAAAAAAAATCAGAGTAGACTTGTTTTATTATAGGATAATTTTTGTTGAAATCAGCATTTTCCAGATTTAGTGCCTCAAAAAAACAATGTGTGTGTGTATGAGTGCCTTTTAAAAATATAAATCTAGCCTAAAATCTGTTTGAAAGTAACTGCTTTTTTCTCCCCATCCTTCAAGTCAACGACACACTTGATGACATCTTTGATGGCTCTGATGATGAAGAGGAGAGCCAGGATATTGTGGATCAAGTTCTTGATGAAATTGGAATTGAAATCTCTGGAAAGGTATGACTGTCTTCTTTTCTCACTGGGAAATACAGGAGTGGGCGAAAGTAGGCTTACAGTTGTGAGTACATGAAACAGTTTATTTAGTATTTTTTATTAATTATTATATCATTTGTTTGTATTACAACTGTAAACCTTTTGTCAGCCCTTGTAGCTTCCAGCTTTTGTCACTTGTTTTACGTTGTCCTTTATTCTTAAATGCATGTTTTTCTATTTGTTTGAAAAGTAAATTAAACGTCTTTGCAGCACATTCTTTATGTTTTGGTCCAGGTGCTTGATGGTGCACATTTTTCTCTCTTTACTCTCTTCATTGTAGATGGCCAAAGCTCCATCAGCTGCCCGCAGCTTACCATCTGCCTCTACTTCAAAGGCTACAATCTCCGACGAAGAGATCGAGCGACAGCTCAAAGCTTTAGGAGTAGACTAGTCAAAAGCTATAATATTTTGCTTATTTATAATTATTTAGTTATAATTATAAACCAGGCATATTGCCAATTCCTTTTATGAAACACATTTATTTTGCAAAAATGAAGACCATGAGTGAACAGTTGTTTCCTAAGCCATGGCTATTTTGAGTCCTTTGCCAAAGAATGACAGCGATGCAACATGGGAACAGTTTGGATTTTAACTGGAACTGTTTAGGAGTGATGATGTGTAAAAAGCTGACGACTTTCCTGCATGGCATAGAGGAATGAATTCATTACCTAGTGTAGTTTATGTCTAACTCTTTTCACACTGAATAAAAAAATCTTGTTAAATGCCACTAGGCACCAACCTAAAGAGTCTTGTAAAAATATTAAAAGTATATTATTCTGTATCTGTTGCTTGTCCTTTGTTAGCAATATGTGTTATGACCATAGGTGAGTTAGCTGCCAAATTATTTTTAAATGGTCTGTAAAGAAGAGTGCTGTTTAAACATCAGTCTTAAACAAAAACTGTCATGAGCTTTCCTTTTTTTTTCTTTTTCTCCTTTGGGAAGACATTCTAGTTGATAAGTTTATTACCTTCCGAAATGCGCTTGGCACCTGCCTTAAACAGCACAAACATTGTGCACATCCTTAAATTATTTTAACTGACGGAAGAAATCAAATTTTAAACTAAAATTGAGGCTCTTATAAAAATTATCCAGGTTGTCTTTTGTAAAACTTATAAAAGTGAATTGAATATATTAGCAAAAACAGACACTGAGTTAATAACATTGTATAGTAATAAAATGATATATTTTGGTCTTTCTTCCAAGAACTGAGGAGGTTTTTTCCATGTGAATTATAATTTAATCTGTTTAATTTTGAACTGTATTAATATGTATATTGAGCTCTCTAAATTGAAGCCATCATTCTCAATTAAATAACACTATGACAATACTCTCAATTTTTAAAAAACATTAGCACTTTTTTCTTGGTGAATAAACTACAACTTTGTCAGAAATTACTGCCTAAATGTGTGTTAATGTCTTAGCAGTATTTTTAAAGGTAAAATTGCTTTGGTATTTAATGTATGTATAGAAAGTGAGAAGAAATGAAGAAGTAGCAGATTATAGAGAGAGAATTGAGAATTAGGTTAGTTTTGAAAAATGATGTAATATAGAGGTTCTAACACATTCCACCACAAAAGCCCTGGAGGAGATTACCTGGTCAATTTGGGATGATGGACATTTTGGACTAATATTTACAATATAATGCATTTTAGAACTAGTATACATGTGGTATATGGATTGGTGGAAAGAATGAAAAGCTAAACAATATAGTTTATAATCTATGATCCATCTTATGTTCAAAGATAAGGTTCCATTATTATTAGTATTAAATACAGTTACACTGAGCATTGATGGGTCAAAAGATTTTACTAGATAATGGGATGTTAACCCAGAACTGTTTTGATTCTTGGATGTACATAGTAATGCCAACTAACTTTATTTACTTTCTTGTTTACATGTGGGGGCTTTTGTTTTTAAAAATTATTTTGTTAAAAAGATCCCAATAAAGATTTATTGCTATTATGCTTTTTTAAATCTCTTTTACTCTATTTTTGGCTTCTGCTAAGTTAAAATTGTTATATATATGTGGTACTTTTTCAAAATAATGATTTTATTTTTCTAAAAAGAAAATTAGATAACTCTGCTTCTTATATTTAAACAAAAAGATGTCTTCTTAAGAATTAGTTGGTATAGGACATGTTTGTGAATGGAATAAGCCTAAGAATTAGAAATTGATCTGATAATTCCCTTCCTGGAACTTACAGGGGATAAACATTTTAGAAAATATTTTTTAAACAGGCAAGTCCTAGTGATTTCTATTATTTCAGTCAAACATGGATGCCACAGGAGACTTTGGGAATCCAAAGGAGAAAGTAGAGTCATGATTTGGCTACATTTATAAAATGCTTGATGGCAGTTTTCACAATCACCATAAATTTATAATGTTATGGTTTCCTTGGCTAAAAATAAAACTTCCTTTTGGTCCCTTAAGTTTGGAAAACAAGGATTCTCATACATTGAGTTTGATGAAAATAATTGACCTCTTTTAAAACTTTTCCTAACTTCCCATTTTTGGCAACTGTATTCAAACAAGAGGTTGCCAGTGGAAAGAGAGCAGAAGAGAGTGGCAGCTTCTATTACTGAAGAGGATGCACCCCAGTCACATCCTGTGATGTAAAACTAGTGGATGGAGATTTCAGAGTATCGAAGAAGTAGAAGGCTGTGGTGTCAATACTAGTAAAAGCTCCTAGTCTTAAGTAAACCTAAAATGTCCATGTCAGGTAATTGTGCTCTATAGACCCATGCCTGAGGGGAATACCTGGTTCTGGCAATGGCCTGGTGGAAAGGGGCTCAAGATTGTGACCCTATAGATTAGAGGGGGAACCTGGCAGCCAGTGGGCTGTATTTTATTTGCATTTGAATGCCTTTAAGGGAAGCCTGCACTCTCACTCTGGCCACATGCGCATTCCTTGCTAGCCCAGAAGTCCTACTTCTAGCCTGATCCCTGTGGGCCTAACTGAAATATGTACTCCTCTTTCAGACCCTCCCAAGCCAAAACCGTGTGTATCCACATCTGAAAAGAGACCTATGATTACTTTCTCCTTTGATGCTATTACTCTGCATGAATTGGTGTTTGCAGCTATAGAAAAACAGATCAGCTTTCCAATTTTCTCTCTGTAGAAGCTGAGTCCTATAGAGGGATTTAATCTATTCTTCTAACTTTAATTCCTTTAAGAGTCAATTGGATCGAATTTGCCTTAGAAGCCTGAGGATTGTGAAGTCTGATTTCAGGTACCCTATTTTTGGAGCACCACACACACCCCCAGCCCCCACCATCTTCCCTAGAACATGAAAATACACTCCTCCCATCCCCAAACACTGAAAATATTTTAGACAAATCTTTCCACCGTTAGAGATGGCAAGGTAAATTCTATGAGTTTGTCAGCCACTTCTATCAGGTAAAGTTGAATGTACCAATCAGTACAAGTGACAAATAGGTCTTTCCATTTTAATGGACTACTCGACTGAATTCCTGAAGATTTACCACAAAAGAGCTCACAAGATCATCAGATCAAAAGGCTGTATGGCTAACATCAGCTTTTGGCCTTGATTCCTGAAAGAGGGAACACATAGATACTACACAGTAAATTAGATTTGTGATTTAATTACAGTTTAGGATACTAAATAACATTAACCATCTTCTATTTTTTCAAAAGATCAATATCTATTAAAATCTCAATATAGTTAGAAAATATAGTCTCAAAACTCACTTGTACAAATGAGTTAGTTAAATACCAGTGCATTTACAACTAACTTGTGACTAAATACAGAATTGCGATTTCAATATTAAGTCTTGATTTAAAATAATTCCTTTAGGGAGAAAAATTGGTTCCCAATGCTAGCTGTATCGAAACTTGAAAAGAATGACCTTATGGGTGAATGTCTAATAATATGATGTAAACATTTATATGTGACAAGCCTATGTACATGCTTGTTTTTATTATATGAAATCAGATTAAACATTCCCAGTAGGTTCATACTTAAAGTGCAAAAAAGTCATCTAGATTTATATTACATTACATTTTGCTTCTATTTGCAAGTTCCAAAGATGTGCATATATGTATTTTTCTGTGTGCATGTATATATGTACATCCCACCCTGCCTTTTGCAAACAGAAGAATCCCTTCCCCAATTAATTTGTTTTAAGCTGGTGATCTATCCAGAGAAGGAATTTATCTACATAGCTGAATAGTTTGGAATTTTCAATAAGAAAAGTCTTTATATGTATATGGTATTTAACACCTCCTGGGTACTAGATGTGTGTACTTAAGCANGACATCTACATAGCTGAATAGTTTGGAATTTTCAATAAGAAAAGTCTTTATATGTATATGGTATTTAACACCTCCTGGGTACTAGATGTGTGTACTTAAGCATAAGTGATCAGGCCCCTGAAAACTTCATTGTTAATATATCAAAGTTCCTGGTCATGCAGTTGATGATGATTATATGTGCACAAACATACGTTCTACATAGACTATTACCTGGATAATACTTGGTCTTTATTAATATCACAAAAAGCAAGAAACTGGACAGTATACTTTAGTAAGCATTCTAAATCAGTAATAAAATTTGGTTTAATTGTTCCTATTTTTGCTATATAAAATAAATTAGATAAGCATTGCCATCAGATGTACACTCAAAATGCAAAAAGAGTCACTATTTGACATTGTCGTCATATTACAGTTTGCTTCTACTTGAAAGTTTCAAAGAAGTATGTTCTTACATAAGTTAAATAAATATGTTTCTTGAGCTACAATTCTCTGAATTCAAAAGCTCAATATATCAAACTTTATTAATAATAAATTATATTCTAATTAAACCCAAAAATGGTAGCCTTTTTTGATAGGACTCCAGATGACTCTGTGGGTTATGAAATTTTAAAAATAAATCACGTTTAGTCNTAGCCTTTTTTGATAGGACTCCAGATGACTCTGTGGGTTATGAAATTTTAAAAATAAATCACGTTAAGTTTAGTCACCCTTCGAGTTTGTGGTCATTATGATCAGCACACCCCTTCCTTCATTTAACGTTGAACAAATCATTAATCAATGAAATGAAATGAANTAGTCACCCTTCTAGTTTGTGGTCATTATGATCAGCACACCCCTTCCTTCATTTAACGTTGAACAAATCATTAATCAATGAAATGAAATGAAAGATTGCATGCCTGCTATAAGCACACACTTCCCAAGGCACTGGAGAAACAACAGCAAGCAGGCAGACATCTTCCCTGCACCGTTGCAGCTCACAGAGTAGCAGGTTGTGGCTCAAGAATCCATAAGGCATATTTTCTATTGCTAAACATCAAAAAGTTAATGTCTAGGAAGAAAAAGGTCACAAATGAATGTTTCTACAAATCTCTATTGAAACATTTCTTTGGGCACTATCCTCTAAGTATGTTAGCTTCAGAGGTGTTGCTTCTGATAAGATTTATTCTAAATAAATCTTAAGCAATAATAAAATTCTAAGACACCTCTGGCTCTTAAGTGCAAAACTTGAGTTCAGACAAACCATTAGAGCTGATGGTAAGCAAGACATTGGTTAAGGAATTATCTAATTGGATCTTCTCTGGCGATAATCTTTATGTGACATTATTTACTGAAATGTTAAAAAGCTAACATACAGCCTTTGGAAAATGGAACTTTAAAAGACCTATGTGCACACTCGTGTGTGTGTCTGTGTGTGTGTGTGTTTAGATAAATGATAACTAGATAGGGAGAGAGAATCATTGTTTCACTTCTATTAGTATCTTTGGGTTAATGTACAATGTGGCTTCTGAGAATATTGTAAAGAAAATAATTCATCAAAATAATTTGAATTTTTAGAATGTAGAAAATAAAGGCTTCTGCAAAAGTTATTGATATAGAATGATTTTTGAAGCCAATTTCTCTTTTTGTTGGAGAACAGAAGGGAATGAAAAATAGAAAAGTTTGCAGTTACACAATAGGAAAGCTTATCTGCATTCAAGATTTTCCTTGGAAATACTAAATAAACTCTGATTCAAACTTGTTTTCACCCGTTTTTCTCTCTGCCTTCTGTTGCAAAACCAAACTCTTACTACCTCCTTCTCAAGATTCAGTTCTTCGGCCATCCTCATGATCTCTTGGGAGGAGGGCTTATTCTGCTCTCCAAAGTGTCTCTCCAGGGCACCTTTTGCAGCAATGCT